GGCAGCACAAATGTGGTCAGGGGAGGCTGAGGGAGGGCGATTGATGGCTGCAAGGAAGGAAGTGGTCAGAGGAAGGTTTTGTCACCTGTGAAGTGTGCTCGCATAGGAGACACCCTGCGGTTGTTGGCATGTGAAGTCTTCCCCAACAAAGAAGGCAAAAAAGCCAACGGAAAATCGGAAGACTAGTGGTGGCGACTCTCTTGCTATGATGTCGTACTCCTTTGAGTCATCGAGCAATGACATTGCCAGAGTCATCATCGGAGATAAGGACGCATGCTCCTCTAATGGTGCTGCCTTCGTCTTCTATTCTGATGTCCTCGATCATCTTGCCTAGTTGGTTATTGATAAGGACAAGGCTGAGGAGGGATGTGTCTCATTGGTGTTGAGCATCACCACGCAGCAGCTATTCCCTTTGGCTGTATAGGTTGCTGCGATGCAACCTCATGTAGCTATGGACTCGTCCTCTTGTTTGCTTTTAAGTTTTGCCGTTGTTAGCTTTTGGAAGGGAATAACTACTAGTCATAGGTACTCTGTAAGCCAATCACATAAGTGATGACATGTGACTTGATACGTAGTCTTTTTGTTTATTATTATTATTTAATATTTTATCACTTTATATTGCTTGTTGTATGAATATATTGTGATGTCTATAGATCTGTACAAGGGAATCGGATCATGATGAGACCACGATAATGAGATCGATTCACCTTTAAACACAGATCCTAAATAATCCCGGTCATATGTTATTTAAGAGGGATATCGAGATAATCGGACAGACTAGTGTGTTGTATACCCATCCATATGATGGATGCAGCTGGTCTTATACAAGCTCATGTGGGGACACTAGGGATACAGTGCAGGTGCTCATTGGAGAATGAGTTCATTGATTGATCCGCTCACGTAATGCTGAATAGTTGATGATGCTTTATTGTCAGATAATGATTTCGTCGTCTTAGTGGTGTTTCTGGTCCTTAGACTTGAGATACTAAGGATGTCCTATATGAGTACTCTATTCTTTGATACCGAACTTATAGGCCTGGAAGTTTCAGATCTAGTATAACCGGTCATCGGGAATGGTAGCTAACCTTACGAGGATTATTGAGTGTTGATAGAGGATCATCTGCTCTCAGTGTCACGAGAGGAATATCATATATGTTTTTGTTTAGACAAATTCCTAGCCAAGGTCATTCGGATTAAGAGAGAAAGAGTTCTCCAGGAGACTCCGATTAGAGTGAGACTCGAGGAGAAATCGTATGGGCCTAATAGTACCATGCTCGCTATACGATCTCTGGGGTATTAGATAATTGAGAGACTCTAAGTACACGATAATTGAGGATAGATATGTCCAATGGATTGGATTCCCCTGTATCGTTTGGGGATTGTAGCGTAGTGGCCTAGTACGTTCGCAATCGATGAGTCAAGTGAATTATTATGGAGATAATAATCCATTAAGTCAGAAAGAGTTATGACAGGTATGACTCACATCTAGCTCGATATTGGGCCTAGAGGGTCACACACATATGGTATGCATTGCGACAAGTAGAGGTTCAGATATGAGATATCAATCGGAGCTCCTATCTTATTGGATATCCAATAAGCCACTAAATTATTGGATCATATGAATGAGATCTAATAAGAGCCAATGAAAGATTATTGGATAGAGATCCATTAATCTAAGAGGTTTGGGTAATTGGATGGAGATCCAATACTCAATAGGGCATGATCTATTAGGGTTAAGTTGAAAGGGGGCCTCTATAAATATGAGGGAACCAAAGGTTCATAGGCTAGAGCTTCTCTTGATTATCACCTCCTATTCTCCTCTCCCCTTCTCCTTCTCCGATAGTAGACTTGAAAATTTGAAGAGCGTCATCGTAGCCCTACTGTGTGGATCACCTCTAGAGAGGAAGACGTTTGACCTCCTTCATCATCTCCTACAATTCTGCAGGGATTCATAGATATACGATCTCCCTAGGTAACACAACCATCTTACGCGTGGTTTTCAGTTTTACGAATTTTACACATAAATCTTTATATAACGACGAACATAATTTATGAAAAATTTGGAGAATTTTATTTTCTGTTCTTCTGTTGCGCATGTGATATTGCTCCTATAATTCTCTACAATCACAAGTGGTTTGGTGGAGTCGGAGGCCAAACTGCAACTGTAACAATGACAAAGGTAGTAGGTGAAGAAAAGCATAAGAGGACTGAGGTCTCTTAGTTCATAATATCATGGAGTTACCTTCTATCGGAGAACCAACCTTGCGAGCCACCAACATCGCCACTTATATCGTTTGTAGTGTAGTCGGAGGGGAGAGAACTAGAGGGGAGGAAAACGGTTTATGTGAAAGCTTAGTTTACGAGCAAAAAATTAATAATTTAAAAGATAATAAAATTATATATATTTTTATTCATGTTCTTTTACACGTGATAATAAGTATATAATTTTTTTCGTCAATGAAGCTAATGTGCGAGAAGAATTAAGATTAAATATTTTTTATATAAAAATTTTAATATTATTTTTTAAAATATAAAAATTCTAACCATCTAATTTTTTTAAATATAAGAGGTAATATGTCGAAAGCCAGCCTCCATCATTGCTCATGTCTCTTCAAATACGTAAAATGCATCATCTCTCTAATCATACGGAAAGCAGGAGAGCCCGAAGACAGTGAGACGTCTCTCTCTCTCTCTAATCATAAGCTAATCAGGACAGCCCGAAAACAGTGATAGCTCGCTCTCTCTCTCTCTCGTGCGAGGGTGATTCGTCTCTTCGTCATAACCAGCGCTTCCGGAGCCGACACTTGCAACGGTATCCTGTGGCGATCGGGCTGTCTTCTCATGAGCCACTTTGCGAACGGGAGGAGAGGAGGAGGAGGCTTGGATCTGGAGCTCCGCCGCACCCGCCGGAAATGATGAGGCCATCCATGAAGCACCGAAGGAGAGCCGGCGGAGGGCGGTCTTGGGCGAGGGGCTCCTCCGCGTCGCCCTCGTGGTTCCTCCTGTTCGCCTTCCTCTGCTGCGCCCTCTTCGCCGCTGTCGCCTTCTCCACCTTCCGAATCTTCGGAGGTAACCCTTATGGAACTCGTTCTTTCGTTGATTTGCTAACGATCATGGTTTGTGATCCATGATCTCTGCATCGGTTCTCCATTGTTTCTCTTCCTTACCTCCTTCCTTCTCTAAGCGTGTGGAAGAACCGTGTGTGATTTCTTGGATTAGGTTATCTTGATACTCTCAGATCGTTCCAACCCAACATAACGTCATGATTTGAATGCGAATGCGCAAATAATTTATGCATATAGCAGTCTCAAACTCTGATCTCAATTTGGACAGTGTCATTCCGCCCGGTGCTGATGCTCCCAACATGGCAGAACTCGGCCATCAATGCCATGGCCACCGACCACCCCTTCTTCACCTTCGCCGCCACCAAGAATCGCAGTGACAACCCTCCTTCCGTCCGTATCGAAGAAGTCATCTCCTTCCCGGATCAAGTCCTCCTCTTCCTCCAATTTCCCGGCTCCCTCCCTAGATCGGACCTTGCTTGCCTGTACTATCCCCCAAGCAATCCCACCACCACCATATCCTCCTCCTCCTCCTCCTCCTCCTCTTCCCCTGTTGCCCAATTCCATCTCCCCGCCACCATCCCGTCTCCCCTGCCTTCTTTCGTCCGCTGCCCCCTTGCGCCCCGTGGCTTCTTCGTTTCCCTATCCCCTGACCTCCCCCTGTTCCAACCACGGCCATGGGACCATCTCGTCTACGCCGCCATTCTCGATCCTCATGACAACTCCTCCATTGTCTTTGCCAAAGGCTTCAACCTCCGTCCCGCCCGCCTCGCCGACCCCTCTCGCTATGAGTGTGTATACGGCTGGAACTTCGCGAAGCCCAACTACTTCATGACCTCTCCTGTCCTCACAGCAGCCCAGGAAATCATCCGTTGCCCCACCCCACACAGCATCCTCCTCCGCCTCCGCAGCCATGCCGTCCTGAATCCTCCCTTGGTATCGGTCAAGACCAAGGGCCGCGGTGCCGTCACCCTCCCCTCTGTTGCCCACCATGAGATCCTCTCGCCGAGCAGAAGGCAGGGCCGGCACACCATGTGCGTGTGCACGATGGTGCGCAACCAAGCCAGGTTCCTCCCGGAGTGGATCATTTACCACTCACGCCTCGGCGTCGAACGGTGGTTCATCTACGATAACGACAGCGATGATGACACAGAGCAGGTGCTCGAGTCCATGGACGCGTCTTCCGATTACAATGTCACCCGCCATTTGTGGCCCTGGGTAAAGACTCAGGAAGCAGGCTTTGCACACTGTGCTCTTCGTGCCAGAGGTCACTGCCGGTGGGTCGGATTCATCGACGTAGATGAATTCTTGTACCTTCCTACGAACGTCACACTGCATGATGTTCTTCGGAACTACTCGAGAAAGCCTCGGATCGGAGAGCTCCGGATAGCATGCCACAGTTTTGGACCTTCAGGGAGAAGAACTGTGCCATCGGAAGGCGTCATGGCGGGCTACACATGTAGGCTGAGTGCGCCTGAGCGGCACAAGTCGATTGTTCGTCCGGAGGTACTGAATCCTTCTCTGATCAATGTTGTGCACCATTTCCATTTGAAAGATGGGATGAGATACGTGAACATGGAGAAGGGACTTATAGTGATCAACCACTATAAGTACCAAGTGTGGCAAGTGTTCAAGGAGAAGTTTTATCGGAGGGTGGCCACCTACGTTGTGGATTGGCAGATCGAGGAGAATGTGGGATCGAAGGACCGGGCACCGGGTTTGGGAACAAAGGCAGTAGAGCCATCGGATTGGCCAAGCAGATTTTGTGAGGTTCATGACACAGGACTCAAGGATTGGGTTTCTGTGGCTTTCGCCAATCCACGAACTGGCCTTCTCCCATGGCAGAAGGGGGAAGAATTTGATTTGATTCATCACTTTGATACATAGAAGGTAGATGATGAGAAACAAGGGGGAAAAGAGGGTTTTGGCCAATTGTCGAAGGTCGATGAGTCTTCTCCCATGGCAGAAGGGGGAAGAATTTGATTTGATTCTTCGCTTTGATACAGAGAAGGTAGATGATGAGAAACAAGGGGGAAAAGAGGCTTTTGGCAAAATTGTTGAAGGTGAGTCTTAATTTGTTTTTTCTTCCTAGTTCTAACTATAGATGAGACAATTATTCTTTTGTAGATGGAGACAATACAGCGCCTTGCAATGATACAAGGGATGAATCGAATGGAAGCTTAGCGGTCAGTTCCTTTTAACTATTTGTTTATCTTCTTACTCTCTTGTCAGTTTGAGCTCTATTTGTTATGGTTTCAGAACACACTTGCATCCATGCTTATTAGGATCTATTGTTTGCGTAATTCAGTCTAACTTGTGATCTAGATAAGGATGTCGTAATTCAGTCTAACTTGTGATCTAGATAAGGATGTTGCACCTTTCTTGATGTGGTCCAGCAAGAATATTGAAGAGAGAGAGAGAGAGAGAGAGAGGTAGGTGCTTCAGTGGAAGCTAAAGATCACTGTTTTCCCATTAAGAAATATTCCTTTTGCCAAAGTCAACCTTATCAGTCTCTCTTTTTACCTTTACATTTTCTCCATGATTATTATTCTGGTCTACATGCTAATTAATACACACTACCACCATGGTTCAGAAGAGGGGTTTTGTTGAATCTTCTTTTCCACCAGTGTGTATTCAAAGCCAATAAACACTACCAGCATGGTTCAGAAAACTGGTAATGTTAGGTTGACACCTGCTGTCAAACTGCATCTCCTTTCTTACTCTACAATGAAGGGAGGTTTCTTAGATCATCTTTTATCATCTGTCATCTGCTGCTTGATGTTATTAGATAACAGATGATAAAAGATATAAGATATCAGCAACACAAGGAGGTAGGTGCACATCCGGTTGAGATGGCTTTAAGGACTTCGACAAGGGAGGGATGGGGTGGGGAAGAGCCTGACGTTTGGACAACTTGGCTGAGCTGTGGACACTGTCTCACATGCCGAAAGCATTGTCTGCGAATTCATTAGAGGTTTGGAATGTTCCGTTCCGTGCACGTGAACATTTTGACAAGCACTATTGTGTTTGTTCTGTAACTTAAGGTATATTGAGAACTCACGGACAACAGAGCTTTCCTTGAACTTGTAGGAGCGTTTTCTTCTACAATACGAAGGAAATTATTTTTGCGTGACACACGTATCATATATGAGAGACTATCTTCGTTACTCTAATAATTGTATAGGAACATTCTGCTGCTCTATAAAAGCAAGGCTTTGGGACAGATTGACCAATTCACATCTTGATCTATCAGTGGTCTGAATCAACAGTCCGTATCTCACATTCTGATGACATTAACAGTCAGATAATAAGATTTCTTTCCTACAACATCGATTAGTCTGACTTCTTATGTAACATTGTGATGTCCGTACATTTTTTTGTCACCAAAGTATCTTAGAAAGAAGAATTTGTTTCTGCATTGCGAGCAGATATCTGATCAATAAAACCTAAGAAGATAAACCAAGCAACAAGTCTGTCTCCATATCAGCAGAATCAAACATGTTTGCTAAGAAAGCTGCAGAACTCCAACCATAAAATATATGTGTCAAAACTGGCTCTTTTGAGTTAGTCAATTAGGAACAATTTTGGTGGATATTTCGCACCTTTGCTTACATCTTCATGTTGTCGATGTGGTCTATATTTCTCGGGTCACAAATGGGGTAGCTCACAGGCTTGCCAATTTTGGGAGAACTTTAAGTTCTCCATTTTTTTGGTCTTCGGATGATCCTCATATGGTCCATTTGTAAACCCAGTTTGACTTTAATCGCAGTTATCATTTTCAAAAAATAAAAAAAAATTCACATACTTCACATAAAACACAGATTTCTTTAACTTTTATGTCATGAAGACCTACAAAAGTAGTACACACAGAGATAATAAGATGACACCTGCAAAACTGAAACCATGCAGAATCGAGCTTCTTATGTTTCTTTAATGTTAGTAGCTGTTTCAGTAATTGCATCCATGCATGAAATGAAATGTCACAGACCTAAGATGACAAAAAGGAGCCAAACTCAAAGTAGTGAAGAAGAAGACAATCGCCGTATTTTCCTGGAAATATATCGTACTAAGTTGAGAAAAAATGTTTCACAACTAGACATGCCAGAGAACAGAACGGACTAAAAGTAAATGTAAAGATGTGCAACCCCTCTTTTCTGCAGCTGAGATTGTTTTTTGACTCAGTTTATGTGTATCATAATGCCAAACATGCAGAATGATGATGGACTTATTATCAATGTCAGGGGCTTGAGCGATAAGAAAAGATTATTTAGCTACAGTCTAACATCAGTTTACTTAACCTCCTTTACATGTTTCTCAAATATAAATTATTATACTTCTGCCCAGAGTACATCCTTAAAATAAGTGGATGAACATCAATGTCCCCATAGTGTCCATCATGCTGATTCCCACAATGCAAATGCACCATTACAGGCACTAAATATGGATACAAGGGCAGTATCCTTCCTGACAAGTAAAGATGTTTGAAGAGAAGTGCAGGGAGTGACTATGAAAAAAGGTATTCATCAATTGAGTAATCCACCGGGTCATATAAGTACTCACCACTGGGTTCAGAATCCTCGCACAAGTTAATACGTTGGACTTCAGTAATCGGCACTGAATCAATGTACTGATATATTTCTGTGCCAGTACAACTCACATTCTCCAAGTAGCTGAGCTTCTGAACAGAATACAGATGTAAATCCTCAAGCATAGAATCCGAGTCGCTCTTACTTTTAAGACTGACCTCATATGTTAGAGGAAAACACCCTTGGTTGCATGTCTCATCAAGGTAACAATCTTCTATGCTTGGTGATCCCTCTAGTTTACAAATTGCTCCAGTGTCTTGTAAGTTAACTAGTCCATGTTTAACTTGAATAGATACCGAGTCAATCGTGCATGCCATTGGAGGCATAGCAGGCTGGAGAGGTTTCATTTCATAGAGATCTTTCATATCCTTACCATTTGTGCAAGTGGCTGATGTGATTAAGGGTTGTGAAGAAGGAAAATGATCAAAACAGGGCTCATGATCTCGATCAGGATTTGCCAAACATGAGTAGCCTTCCAATACGCTGTAGTTTTCTTGTTCTGGATACTGCATGAGCTGCATCACTGGCCTTTCATCATGCAAAGGCTTGCATGCCTTCTCCCTAATGCTTGGCAGCATGCCCTTGAAAGAAAGAAATAGACCTAACTGAGCATCATTCACTAAAGCTTTCTTACTTGCTATTACTTGCGCAGGTGCCACTCTGTTCATTTCACTCACATGAGCTGCATTGGCAACAATCCCATGAGTCTGGAAATTCTCAGTTGTGCATGCATATTTGGTAAGCTCCCAATCTTGTTGCACGTTTGTTGAGCTTTTTAGTCCAAATTTTCCTTTGATGGTTTTATTTATGTGGTCAGATTGCATATTTCCACCACAAGTCCCTCCATTCTGCTTTTGTAGTCTACTCAAGTAAAGGCGATACTTCTGCATAAATGATGCAACAATAGAACTTCTACATGTCTTCTGATAAACAATAGAACTTAAGATAATGAAAGAATTTAAAACTAACTGTATTTAGTGAAGATAATGATGTAATTTAGAAAATGATGGTCATACTACTAGACCTATAAATATCAGAAATCCAATACGGTTCAAAAGAGAAAGTAATGTGAGCACTGAATCTGAAAATCTCATGTAAGCCATATAAGACATACCAAATACCTAGTTAGTTTAAAGTTTTCTGCATTCTATTTCCAACTCCTTTTTAGTTCTGATGCTTGAAAGCTGTTCCTAATATTTTCCTTAATCCTTTTCACCATCCTTAATATATAATTTATTATGAAAGCTATCGTAAGTCTTGTATCTTATCAGACGCACAACTCTTTTTACCACTTCTTTAGCTGTTGTATACTTTTTGAATTTCTCCTCACTAATGATTATGGCAATCTTTTGAGCTTCTTCACACCACCACCAACTCTCTCTTAATGCTACGTTATACATTTAAATTCCTCAAGAATTTTCTTTTAGCCTATCTTTCTGTTCATAAACCTATACAAATTATTTGTGATTGTTATAGTTCTGGTTCTTTCTGCTACAAAGAACATAAGAATATTCTCAACAACCTTTTCAATCTTCCTTATCTTCGTTGATTGCATTTTATTACAAGCCTCGAGTAATCACAGCATGTAGCCATTGAAACAGAGATTAAAAGAATGTTGATTGTGGCTAACTAGTTATGCTCCTCTCGGAATAGTAAAACTAATGGAGTAAGATCATACCTGAAGATGGCTTGCGACATTCTCTCTTGTGAGGCCAGGAACACTCATCAAGTCAAGTATTTTCTTTGGACCAACTTCTGCGAGAACACATGACAATTATGGAATTGAAAGCACCATCATAGTTATAGCTCAAAAAGAAAAATTATCATGGAAGAAAGAGGCATTAGCATCTTAAAATTCTAGAGAAAATAATTTTATAGTATGAGCAAATAAAAGATTATACAGAATGGCTGCAGCTAGTAGCTGATACTCACTGTCGAATCCAATCTGATCTACAGCATTTACAAACTTCTGATGAAGATCCACGGACCAAACCACTCTTGCCTTCTTTACTGTGGAAGGATCATTGAGCTCTTGGTCAACAAACTCTTTGTTGTCAACATCCTTCCGTTTCCTCATGGAGCTCATCTCAGTTTCATCTATCAGATGTCTGTCTTCAATATCTTCAGATCCATTTCTTAAGATGTTGATGACCTCATCGATACTGTGAGTTTCTACTTCTTTCAACTCCTGCATTTTCTTTCTGTAAACATGCTGCCATATATTCCTTAGCTCCTTCATTCTCACGGGTTTAAGAAGGTAATCACAAGCACCATGTTGAACACCTTTCATTACCCTGCTTGTCTCCCCATCTATGGACATCACTGCAAAAATTATAGAACATGGACATAAGCAATGCTTATGGCTTATGCGAGAAAAAGGAAAAATTGATGGTATGGGATATCATTTGTTAATGTTAGAATGATAAAGGATTTGGATATGGATAGCTAACTTATGACAGGCAGATCCATTTCAAGTCCAACATGCTCAAGAAGCTTGAAACCATCCATATCGGGCATATTGACATCACTAATTACAATGTCAAATCTAGCTTTCCTTTCACGAAGTATGTGCAGAGCATCTGTTGCTAAACTGCATGTGGTAACTGTAAAAATTGCACCATTCAATTTAAGCATTGTCACCATTTAAGAATATACTGCATTTACATAGGCAATAAAGAAAATATCATAAAAGAAATGAAGCATCAACACTTTTTAATGAAGACAAGGTAGAGATTTAAGTATAAACTAGGAACATGTTTCAGACACAAACGGCACATCAGGTTTAGATCCAATGATTTTTTGCAGGAGATGTTATTTCTATGTCAAGGAAGAAACTGTCTCCTAAAAATGGTTGTAATTTCTAACTTAGTAATCTAGTGAATTTGCAAATTCATACCGAATGATATTTTAAACCAATTGCTCTTATTATATCTATAATGAACACAATAATAAAAAGCCATCACAACTGGCACATCATGATTTTGGTGGATTTGCAAGATAAATTTAGCTCACAGCAGAAGCTCAATAACAAAAAGTCAGTATACTTTCTTAGGAGTCTCATGATGAATACTTTTTACCATGGTTTAAAGGTTTTGCAGAATGAATTTAGCTTACAAGAAAAAATTCAATGGAGAAAATCATTATACCTTCTCAAAAGTCAAAAGTATCATGATTCAGAGGGTACTCAAAATTAATATATATATATATTTACCATTACCCTTAATCATGTCAACAAAAATGATTGCACCTGGTAAGCAGCCTCAGTAATGCATGACCAAATCTGTTCATGGGGAAAGTAAGATGCAGAACAAAATTAACATATTTTTTTTGTCTTGTTTATAAAATGTCATGATTTGGTATTATGATGACAGACCTTAAATCGCTATGTAATGCTGACCATAATTTTCCATTTCTGACGAAAATGATAAATCATATGGTTGCCATGGAGTGACTTCAGAGCTAAGAAGCCCCTGAAGAAACTTCAAGTGAAGAGGCCTAGTGACATGGAGATCACTGTAACAAGCTTTGTGGAAAGGGAACATATCATGGTCCAAATCAAGTACAAGCTTATAGTATTTTAGTTTTAGTGAGATGCTTCAACTCCTCCACAAAACCTTTGGGATCAAAAAATCTCCAGCAAGCATGGAACCTGCAGACATATATGTGTGTGTAATTACGGTAGTATATGGAACAGTAAAAGCTTTTCTTTCATGTTACCAAATAAACTAAACCCACTAAACACAAAATCTAATGAAAAACAATTAGAAGCAAAATGCTTTCCCAAATGATCACGTTAATCGCTTGGAAGTGAAAGAAGAAGCTCCTTATATGTATCTATATATCAATGTGAAACTTAACGTAATTAAATCACAGATATTTAGCAGCCTCCTTCCTGTTAAAAGAGGGAGAGAATAACTCGAAATGAAAAGAAAAATTTTAGAGATCAATAACCAAAAACATACTAGAAAGAAGATTTACGTAATTCGACACTTTTTTTACCTAAATCAACAGAGAAATCAAAATTTTCACTACAACGTCATTGAGTTATCTCCGCCTAAGCACAAATGTCTATGTACATCCTCTCACATAGATCTTGAAGAATTCACACATTTTCCGTCGACCCTCGAGACACCCTAAAGAGAAACCTGATTTTTAGGGTTTATAGAAAGTCGAATCCTGATTTTTAGGATTTCCTCATATCGAGGAGTTTTTCATACTATGATTCCTTATCCTCGTAGAACATTTGACTCCAGAAATCCCAAAATACTTGCCAACCCCAACACTTTGGATACCTAATCGCGATCTCACCACAAAGAACAAAACTAAATAAACACTCGATCACATTATCACACAAATTTGGTATCTCTTGTTAGATAAGCTAGCAAGAGTGACGAGCCGCTCAAATCTGTCGGTCTAGCAAATCAAGCCGAGGAGCTAGTTTGCGGCGCTACCAAAGAGAACTAACTACAAACACCATAGCTGCACACCAAAATCTCTATCGAGCACAAAAAAGCAGAGAGGAAACACGGAGAAGAAGAAGAACGGCCCCTCCCCTCGCAACCGATCGGGGCAAACAGCAAACGACCTTGGTAGGAGCACTTCCTGAGCATCTTCTCGAGGATCTTCAACCAGGTGGGATCATCATCGACGATCAGAACCCGAAGGCCGGCCGGGAAGGCTTCGGCTGCTCTGGAGGAGGGCAATGGGTTCCCCATTCTCGGGTTGGGAAGAGGGAGGGTGGGGGCAGAGTTCGGTGTCAAAGAGGGCTCAAAAGGGGGGAAGCCTTTTGTAACGAATATTGGCGCCTCGTCAGTTAACTGCCACTCACTGCAAGTGTTAACATTTATAATGCCCACTACACCACTTTTGGTTCTTTTCCCCCTTTTGCATCATTATATATTGGCTTATAGGAGGGGTGGAACCTTTGATTAAGTGGATAATTATTGGGTAAGACAACAATGTCAACACCAAATTGCATTTGTCCTTTTATTTTTATTTGATTAGCTTAAGATCAATAAGAAAATAAAACGCATCTAATGATGTCGATTTTTCGGCTTCCTTTTTAAGTAAGGATTGTTCCAAGTCTTACCATAGAATTTTCTAATGAATATATACCATCTTATCCCTCTAAGTGTATATATATATATATATATATATAGATATAGCATAGAAGTCATCATAAATAGATACAACAAATGAGCTATTAGTTGAAATTGCAGCATGCATTAGTTCTAAAAACATTATGATGCTAAGATATTGAGGGCATTTTAGGTATCTAATACTATATATCTATTTGTTTAGTTAACCCAAACAAACTAATGCTAAACAAGGTTAGAAGTGAATGATCTTAATATTTGGATATTAAAATTTATAATGACAAATATGGTATTCTTCATTTACATAAATTCATATGTGAAAAGAAAAAAAAAAAGAAACAGACACAGTTGTATTTTGCTACATCAAACTGATAAAAAAAAATATGTACTTGTATATGACAAACAACTTATAGGATATTGTGCTGAATTGATGATTAGAGATTTATATTTGTTCTTATGATTAAAGATGTGCAATAAAACAATTTTTTTTTTCTTCTTTAGAGTGAGAAGGTGTCATTGACTTTAGTGTATATTTCTTTCAGAAACCATAATAGGGATGATAAAAATTCTTGAGAGGTATAAGCTAAAGTGTACTATAATGAATAGGGTGTATAATGTCATGCATCAAATGATAAGCAAGTTATGGTGGCAAATCTCCTGTGGACAAATATTAGTAGCTACAACCCTAGCAAAGCAGCCTATGCTCATTGTTGGATGCTGTGAGTTGATGCTGCACATCTTATCATTGTGGGTGGCACTTCTTTCCATTCTAATTCCTTCTCTGGGTGGGGGCATAAAGCATGTCCATTATCATTTCCATGATGCAAAGCTTAAAAGCTTGTCATTGAGGGAAAGTCTTGATGGTCATTCAAATGGATTTTGGTTGTCAGCTTCTTTTGAACCAAAATTAAATTCCATAGAGTTGATTAAAATTAACTAGATTAATCAATAGTTAATCTTAAGATCAAAGTTGAATTAAATTACAAGTCTCATTAACTTAGGGTAGTAATGATCATTATATATATATATATATATATATATGATTTAATAGTTTTATAAATTAAAATATAGGTGAGAGATTAGAATTTTAAATCTGAAATTTTGATGAATGACTATGTAGCAAACGTTTATCTTACTTTTATTTGTAAACTTTCATATAAAATTTACATTAGTTATTGGAGTCGGCCTTCTTATATGACATACGTGGTTCCTTCCCAAACCTCGTATTGATAGGAACTATTGAGTTTATTTTTCTATTAATTGATCAAAAAGACTCTAATTATTCAAGTCCTATTGCCACTATTATAAATCTTCTTGTCTAGAACTCGGTTGAAAGTATAAAGTGTTTGAAAGAAAGATATCATACTTCTACAAATGACTTGTGCTCCTTATAAAATACTTCTCTAAAGACCAGAAAGACTTGCAGAGAATTTGGAACCCACTTGGAGAGTGTTCCTATTGAAGACCTTCAAAAAGAAAACCTGAAGTGGGGAGAAAAGAATGCACATTTGTTAAATCAGCACTTACAACCATTAGTTGATGGATTCTCTCATAATTCACTGCATTTGATTGATGGATGAAGTTAGGGGCATAGCTTTTATCTGATGATTGTTTATGCATGTAGGTGGAGAGACAAATCAGACAGTAAGAGGCCAACAAAGGAGTACAAAATCCACCAAGCTTTGTAGCCAATGAGATGAGTGGATTCCAATTTATCTCCTCCTGTTAATCTCAATCATCCTCAACCATCTTTTCTTTGAGCCACTTGAGCATGGATTTGCTGCTTCAATCCTTTTCCCTTCTCTGTGGAGTCATGTCAAATACAGAATTAGATGTTCAGCCATTAAGCATTGCAACAATTAACTATCCACACCAAGATTGATTCTATGAGCAATCAGAAAAAAAGGATTGTAGCATTATTCCATTCTAATCTAATGAGCAATCAGATAAAAGGTTTGCAGCATGATGTGTTCAATCCTCAAGGTGCTAAAGTTGTAACCCTTTGAATGTGGGAGGAGAAAGGAAATGTCCACTACCAGTATTCTTTGATTAAAATAGAGGGGGGCTGTAAAGAGATGTTTGGCAAATGGGACTGAGGAGGAGAAATCATGTTTCTTATCTGAAAGGCATAGATGGTTTTAAATAACCCAAAGCTGGAATACTTCACTTTGCTCATTTGGTACTTCCACATGGGAATGCACAACTTTTGGAAGTGGTGAGGAAGTGATTGAATGGTTTATTCCTTTGCCAAACCATAAGCAATACCAAAGCCTTCTCTCTTTAGTTTTGAGGATGGGGATGGATATATGGATGCCATCTAAATTTGTGATGACAATGGCTTGGAAAGATAGGCTAGAAAGGTTGGAAGTCTATATTAAATGGCTCAATCTAGAAATTTGTGATCCTCTTTCTTCTTTGGTTACTGACAATTGTCTTCTGAAATCAATGTTAGGGACTTGATTTACTGGATCTCAGTCTTCTGAAATCAATGTCCTCTAAGATCAAAGAGCTTGATATACTGGTGAGGCTCATAGAACAGAACAGGTTCAAAACTCCAGTAGAATATGCACAAAAAAAAGGTTGGGCAAAAAGACAGCACCCTCCTGCTCTCCAGGATAAATCCATTACAGCACAGTTTGACTGGGCTTGTGATTCCAGTGAGAGTGAACCATGAAATGGAAGGAACAAGTGGAAGCCAGGTTTGAAAGACTGCTGATTCTTTTACCATCAAATTCTTTCCTCCCAACACATCTGTTGTCACAATCAACTTAAAATACCTTCACGAAAAGGAATATGAACAGCAGAGTACTGCTCCAATGAGATCCTGTGAGTACATGGCACAAGTGACATGGCCAACACATCAGCTCTACACGTGGCTCCACCCGATCACATGGTCGACCAGCTGACACCCCTATTCCATGTGGAGAACACGTTAGCTCCACGTAGCTGACTAGCCTGCGTGGCCAGTACTCGATCAGCCGCCACTTGCTACTACTTGATTGAAATGACCAATTACTTAATGAGTGTAATGTGGATAGAAACACGTAATCCTAAGCTCAGCATATGATGACGACAATTACTACTGAACTTTACATCCATGCACGAATCGAGTAATGGTCGGAAATAAGAGTTCCAAAATCATGACTATAAATACGAGCCGCAGGTACATTTCAATACACACTCAATTTGGATATTTATCGGGAGCGTCGCAATATAATTTTGTGAGATTTGGATGTCCGATACCGTAAAACTTTTACTAGAGATCAATTTGGAGATGAACTAGGTTGGATCTTATTCGGCTTCGAAGTTGGACAATCAAAATCTGCTCCATCACATTGGTACTCGGAGGCCAACCATGTTTTATGAAAATTTTATAAGTCTGAGTTGATCAAATCCTGATGAGTATAAACTCTTAAATGAACTGAGTCCAATGGTTTCGAATGCTCATTTGTTGAATCCCTCGATCTCAATTAATCTGAGTCAATCAGGGGTGTCAACCGACCTAAATCCATCACCTCAAATATCTGAATTGAACATTTTGTGTTGACTCTTTTAGGTTTTAACTTTCCTTTAAGAATCTCCATACCAACCACCGACTCAATCTATAATGACTATCCTCACTTAAGCTTTCAAGTACAAATGCTAACCGAGATATTCTAATTCGTTACTCCTTATCTTCCTCAACTCACCTAAGTTTTTCGATAAGCACCACCTGCCTCATTCACTCCACCATTCCCCATACCTATTCCACCACCCATTCCAATCCTAAGCTTGGTAGCTGAGTCTCACCCAACTCATGCTCCAGTGTTGCAAGAAGTGCATTCTCCTCCCTCGACTCAAATTCCTATTCCGACACCAATGCCAGATATTCCCAATGAGATGATCGTCCAATTGACCGGCCTCTCAGCCAAGTTCCAAGACTATCTTAATAAGATGAACCAGTAGTCCCAAGATATCCAGAAGGAAATAAAGAAGCGAAAGTAGTTATTAGTAGAGTCATACTTGTGATCTCCTTTTACAAGAGACATCAACTATGAACCAATCCCTCAAGGTATCCAACTCATGTGTATGATGGAAAGTTTGAGCCTTCAAAGCATATCATAACCTTTATATCTCAATGATATTATATAAAACTACTAACTTAATCATGTGCTAAACTTTTCTAACTACTTTAAGGGTAGCTGCACGTGAATGGTTTACTAAGTTCTCTCTAGAGTCAATTTTTCCTTTAGCTAATTAGTCAGAGAGTTCGAGCTCAACTTTATTAGTTATCGACTCTTGAAGAAGCTCACTACTTCCCTCCTTGCTATTAGATAGGAGGAAAAGAAATTCTTGAAGAGCTATACAAGGAGGTTTAATGATGAATTAGCCTAGTTACCGACCCAACTCCATCTGTCCATATTAATACATACATCAGTAGGCTTTAGCCCTCGTGATTGTTTTACAAAGTTATCACTTAGCCTTCAGTCATCTTCTTAGAGCTTCTGCAAAAGGCAAACTGCTACATTGTGGCCAGAGTACGTGATCGTTAGATAAATAAATGTCAAGCCAAAAAAAAAGGTAAAGAAGGAAATGTCTCAGCGACAAACCCCCATGGAAAGACCACGAAATGATAGACAAAGGAGTGACCAAATGCCTCCTCGATAGGACTTCACATCACTCAATACCTCCCATACGGACGTATTCATGCAAATTTGATAGAAATTAATCTTGTAGGTATCT